GCCAACTGGAGGCTCCTGGCTGAGTAGAGGAGTAGGTGGTGTTTTTTAAAGTGGTTCTCTGCAGAGGTTGCCAAATTATACCTGCACTAAAAGAATATATATTTTCTAGGACAGCTCTATGAAAATCTTCAGCGTAATTTACATCAAGATTATTGCGTACCACCACACAGTACCCTTGCAGTGAGGTTCCAGAAACTTAGTCCTTTAATCTTTAAAATTTTTAATTCCCCTTTTATGCCCATTCCATAAAGCATAGAAGTGGTTATTTCCCTTCTTATATTAGCCCCTAAAAAGTTAAGAACCACTACTATGGATCTCCAGCAAACAACAGAATCTTTTGATGTGTCTTGAAGGTACTAACGTTACCTCTGATTTCATCCTTTTCTCCTCCCACACTCATTTCAGTGCCAAATTTTTCAAATATTTTGTATCTTATCACATAATACTAGGTACCTTTATGAGCCACTCAAATCCTTTTTAGAACAAAGCAGGGCATAAATCAATCTAACATGTGCAAAGCACTGTGACTAGGACACAGGGGTCTCCAAGCCTTCAAGGAGCTGCTCAGTGACAGGGGCACACACGACACAGCACTGCAAGGGCAATGTTACAGGGGAGCGAGAACAAAGCCCTGGGGAGCACCGAGCAGGAAGCACTATACATTCTACAGCTTCACTGAAAATAAAAAACACTCCCCTTTTGAGTTCCCCAGGCATCTCTATTGTTGCATTTATGATCCTATGTGGAAAAATTTGTTTACATGTTGCCCCTGTTAAGGCACTGAGTTTCCGGCAGAGGAGGGACCTTGCCTTACTCATTCATCTGTGTTCTCTAGGGCATGGCCCGAAATCTGGCACAGAGGAGATGCTCAATGAATGCCTGCTGAATGAGAAAGCTTTTAGCAGGCAGAAAAGTGAGCCAGCACTGCAGACAGAGCGACCAGTGTAAGCGAAGACGGCATGGCCGTACAGTGAGACCAATGTCAAGGGTACAAGAATGTGGGGTCTACTGAGAGCTAAGGCTGGAAAAATTCCTGAGGGCTACACGGCACTTGAAAAGCAATGTCTTCACTATTTTTTGGATACCCCTGCATACTTCAGTGTTTAACACTTCTTGGTTACACAGAATTCTTTCTGCAACCAGATGCACCACAGCTGTGTGTGAAGGGTCATATTTATTGTTTTATTTCTAAAAGAGTATCTGGTATTACAGTTCTTGTAAGGGAGAACAGTGGCAAAGATCTCCCTGGCCAGAAACCAGCCTGAACAGGCCATCCTGACGGAAGGAGTACCCTGAGGACGGCGGACAATCCGTTCAGCCAGCGGCAATCAGCTGGTTCATTCCTGAAGCTCAACAGGCTAGTAAGTGTCCTAAGAGGACCCTCAGGTGCTGAGATACCCCACGCCATGTTCTTAGGGGTTATTTAGATTTGGTAACATACTCATTCAAATGATCAGAAAATGAACTCAAGGATAACAGAATCTTTAGTCCAAGCCTAGGCTCTCTGAGAAGTGACTCCTTGAGTGAAAAATGCCAACACTTCTCCCATCAAGGAAGAGGACACACGAAGAGCCCAAGGACACAAACACACAAGAAGAAAGCAGAATTAACATTAAACATCCCAGAAAGGGAACATGCTGTTTGAATGCAACCGTGGAGAAAGTTTCCAGATCCAACTTGGGCAAGACCAAGATAATGCACTCACTGAGCAACAGGAGAGCACAGATCACTAGTGATTCATATGCTCGGCCCCTGAATAAAAGCTCCTCCATAATGCTACCCTGCCTCTGGTTCCAATGCATGATTACACTGAATATTTAGTATATGCTGCTGGACGTTTCTGGAAAACAGAGGACAGTGTCTATAAAATGGGGTGCCTGCAGTGGGGGAGCTTAGAATCCGATGGAGGAACTTGAGGCCACGTTCATGAACTCACACAACAGCACGAGGTTGCCAGCACTGAGTGACAGAGGAAGAACAATTACTCTGAATTTGAACAATTACTTGTAAAGCAAGTGAGACTCAGACAAGTAAAACGAGAGTCTGAGATAATTTAACTAAACACAGCAGTGCAGCACACGGATGCTTAGTATGCAGGGTGAACACAGAATGTATGGTCCAAAAAGAGACACTTCTTCAGAGTAAAAGGGGGATTGAAATTAATCAACAGGTAGAAATGATCTAAAATAGGCACAGACTGGCATGTTGCAGGACAATGGAGACACACAGTCATTCAAGCCACAGGAATCCATTGAATATGTATGTGGATTTGGGCGATGGAATGAGAATGGAATGGTAGGGGGTAAATGCAGGACTTGCAAGTGACTCAATATGGTGGGAAACCGAAAAATCTAGGTGAATAAACCTTCAAAGAAAATTGGAAGGGAAGCTTGGAGAAATTGCTGTGAGCTTAAGTTTAAAGATGGGACCATCCATGGAGTGCCCAGTGGGAGCAGAGAGACAGGGGACTAGAACTGAGGCCAGGCGTTTGGAAGTAAGTTGTGGGGACTCAGTAGCTGGAGTAATGGGAGTGGATGCCGAGAGTCCCATTATCAAATCCTCATGTGAAGTGTTACCAATTCTCATTCTCTGCGATTCCCCTTCACCCACAACAGTTAAGCCTTCCCAACTTCCCACTTGCTCTGCCAAATGTCGAGGAGCTTATAATTCCATTAAAACATCAAATTAAACATCTCTGGCAATTCTTCTATTTTCACAGAGCTTTTAATATACATTCTATTTGCTAATAAAATCTCCCAGTATTAAGTCTTATGTTTTTTTTACTAAACTAGACAATATAAAAACTTGGAACATAATACCTCTTCCCATAAATAATCTTTTTATTTTTGGCTAATAGAGTGATTCAAATATTTTTAAATGATATGATTACTTTTCAGAGAAATTTAGCTGCTGTTTCCAACTAGCACACCCAGCAAAGGAGGAAAAACAATTTCACAGAACTGGTTGTGAAAATATGGTAGTGAGGAAAATATTAATGTCTTCTTCCCAGTAAGTGTGCGAGGAGGAGAAGTCTGGATGGCTGAAGATACAAGGACGAGCGTGTTCACACTCAGGCCGCGAGGGTAGAGAGCCCGAGGATGCCAACCTTGGCCAGCAAAGTGAACTCCTCTCGCCCTGAGCAGTCCCAAGAAGGTCAGGACAGAGCAGAGCCAGGCACTGACTAGACTGAGCGGTTAACTAGAAGGGGAAAAAATGAGTAAGTAGCAATTTTCTGCCATTCCATAAACAGGGAGCTATTTCAGCATTCCCCTTGGCTCAGAAAATTCCAAGTACCACGTAAGCCTCAAAGACAGGTTCAAAATGCACTTGTTAGCAGTGACTTGTCAACTTTCATCCCCTGCCGAGACCACTAAGAGTCCATATCCAAGGTCTGGAGGCTGGGGCCCAGCTCATGGACTTTGGACGGCACTATTAGAGCGGGGGCTGCAGAAGGCTGTCCCTGCTCTCGCTGCATCAGCGTTACAGTACGGACTCACTTCCATCCCAGCTCAACTAGTAGAGACCATTCACTTAGCCCAACACCAAATATTTGCTGACTCTGAGGTTTCACATTAATACTTGAAAAGAACAGAAAGATTTAAGAGTGTTTTGTGTTTGAAACACATTGGCGCATCCTACACTTTCTATTTCCATAACTGCCTCAATTTCAAAGAAAAAAAAAACATAACTGGGCTTTGCATTCACTACTTCAAACCTCGCTTCCTTAAGTCTGCGTTAGAGAAAAGCAAAGCCAGGCACCTATGAGAACAGGTTTAGCCAAACTAGAGTTTAAAGAAAACCAGTGGCTTGCTTGCCATCCAGCACCTGCCTCGGGAGGCCTCCAGGCGTTACGGCACACTGCCATCCCACAGAAGGGGCCGAGGGTGTCTCAAGCTTGGAAAAGGTTGTGAGTCTGTACAGCAAAATGAGATTTTCTGAACCTCTCAGCAACACTAGTGGGGTTCATGCACACCCGAGTCGCGCCCTGCTGAAGAATCAACTTCACGACTAAGGGATTTCCTATCAATGTCAACGTTGACGGCTACTTTTGCGTCACAAAAACAAAAACAAAACAAACAAACAAACAGTTGTTTAGGACAACCTTCTCGGCTGAAGGACTGTTCACATCACAGCCTTTCTTTATGCCCCAAGGGGTGCTAAGAACCAGCACCGGGAGGCAGATTTCAGAAGCTTTCCCGACAAACACAAGTCAGGGATAAGGGGTTCAATATGCAAAGTCTTTTATTTAAAATTTTGAAAAGTTAAGACTGATGACCACCTCAGTATATGCCACTCCCCTTAGAAGGAGGAATGACAGTTTCAAGCTTGCGCAGAGCTCATTTTTGTTTACAGAACTCTGTAGGCACTTTAGAAGTGAAGCTTGGCTTCAAAATACAAACACTGGGGGCTTTGGCTCAATCTTTTAATATAAAAAAATCCACTGTTGTACAAAAATGTGAAAGTGTGATCATGACAACATATGAAATCCTGTGACTGAAAGTCCCCTTGAGTCCACGCCATACAGTGCCCACGCACACCCACACGCACTCTGGTGTGGGAACATAAACTAATGTGAACCAGGGCCACCGAGAAGTGCCAACATGTGCGTTCTCCAGTCCACCAACCACACGCCAGTAACAGAAAGCATGGCATCTTCCAGGGCCAGCAAGGAGGGCTTCTTACTCACGATGGACCAGCACAAATAAACCCAGCAGGAAGAGAACAGCATACTAGAAAACAAGCACAGAGCCACAAGTCAGAGAAGCTCTCAAAAGTTTACAGATCCTCACTTAGTTAATAAACTGGCCTGTGTTACCACAATAAATTATTAAACTATCCAATCAGTCTTTCATCTTTTAACTGTAATCCATTTAATAATTTCTAAAATTAAACAAAAGATCACATTTTTGATGAAATACACAATAGAGGGTCTTACCTTAAATTTAGGATAGTCATTCATGAGGATTGTCACAATCCCAATATAAGGAACGAATCTAAGCAAACAAACAAAAAACTAATCAGCACAGAACTTCTAAGTAGCTGTTATCACTTACTGAATATTCTCAGTATCTTCCCTAGAATACTAATTTTCAGCTCACAAAGTCCATCTGTATATTTCATCCTATTAGATCCTTCCGACAGCCCATGTGATAGGGAAGTTAGGAACGTCACCCTTTCATAGATGAGGAAACAGATGCTCATGCCCCAGGCACGCGGCTTCTCTGCGGGACCAGTAGCAGGTCCGAGGTCCGAGACCTCTAGTCGGTGACTCTAATGCTACCTGCCGACTCAGGGCGAGGGTCTGGTTTTGCCATCAGGGGGCTGTCAATCTAGCTGAGGAGACAGGTAAACACAGCCAGCACATTACAAGGTACTTCAAGTTGAGTGTAAGAGCTCTATCACAGTACTTCACATTTCACCACCCTCTCATTTCTTAACCATCGGTAGGTAACCTGCCTTCGGCTCGCTTAATCCTGAACCTTTCATTACAACAGTTTCAGTCACCAAATGCAGCAGACCAGCCTCAGCCCTCAGCTTCCTTCACGTCTCTGCAGCATCTGGCTTTGACTACAAACCTGCCCCCGACACCCCCTTCTCCTTGGTTTCTGTAATGCGCCACAAATCTATTTTTCCATCTATCTCTTGGCTGCTGTCCTTTTTCATTCACTAGCTTTTCCCTTTTGCCCCTACAGTTTGTCCCCTCGAACTACGTAAAAACCACCCATGAAATAACCTCACAGCACCTGATATACTTCCCTTGAAGTCTTCCTCACAGTTTAAATTACATGATTAGTTGTATGAGAAGCTATACAGCATCTGCCGCCCCTACGAGACTCTAGGTTCTATCAGGGCAAACTTGATGCCAGCCCTGCTCCCACTGTACTACCCTCAAGGCCGAACCCGACAGCTCGCACGTAGCAGGGATCCAGTGATTCTGCCTGAGTGAGTTTGAATGTCCAGGTCTCTCCTTTTCCTCAGGATCTCATTTTCTCTCCAGACTTCGTTCTCCCCTCGACACAAGACTCCTCATGATCACAAGAACTCAGGAGAGCAAGAGGGCATTGCCAGGGCACCCCTGGCTTGGGGGGAAGCAGCAGTTAACACACAAACAGCTTCCTTCTTTCCCTCCTCTGCCCCTGCTGAGCTCGAGTGGGCAGGCAGCCCTGTCCTGGAGAAGGGGGGCTGGGACACAGTGGGGACTGAACTGCGTATTTTCAACCAGCCCAGAGACCTTTATTCAGGGCGTCTACAGCCTCTGCACCACACCGAAGGTGCACCGGCAAATTACTTCCCATGCTACACCTCCACCGGCAAAGCCTTATGCAAACTTGACTAACGGAAATTTTGTCTTTGGTGCATTTCACTTGCTTTTAAGAATTTCTCTTACTTTCCATCTCCCAGTTCTCATTCCTTCTGGTGGTATCACCAAGACCCCTCTCTCTCCTTGTCCCCAAGCTCCCATTCTGTAAGTTGGTGTTGCATAAAACCCAGACCTCCTTTACCAGAATCATTTGGATGACTTGTTTAAATGCAGAAGGCTGCATCTTCCACAGATTTACTGACAGCATCTCTGGAAGGTGGGGCCCAAATGATAATTCTGTACATTAAAGTACATGAAGCACAATTCTAGCAAGTGAACTGCATGGAACAGGCATGTGGTGGCAAATAATATTCCCTCTTAGGGCCCATGCTTCAGTTTAAACCCCCTGTACCTTTAGAGGCTGAAAAGCAACAGTCACTACAGAACAGCAGAGTTAAGCTCTAGGAGGGTGATAGAAGTTTCTAGTTTTAATACACATATTTTTTCTTTTTAATGCAATAACTCTGTTACTTCTTTTGTCTCATCTATAGCGCCTCCACTAGACCAACAGCTCTCAGTGCAGGTAAATCACCCAATTTAAAAATGTAAAGACAGATGCCTTATAGTAAAATGCAGAATGAAAGCTATACAAGCATCTGATCTTATTAAAACAGTATAAGGCTGATAATTCTGGACTGGAAACCAACGAGCAGCCACTCTCATGGGTTAAGACTTCCACTGTGGCGTTCACGCCGTTGCGTCTCTGCTCAAAGCCCCACAGCCTTCGGCTCCCAGGAGCCATACAGTCTGCTTATGAATTACCCACAGAGACATTTTTTCCCCTAAAGTAGGTTCTTCCTTACCCATAACAAGTGAAATGGTAGCAACTTGATCTTCAACAGTAATATAAACAAGATATAAGGCTGCCAGAATGTGACAGGCAGTCCAAAGTCAAACAAAAGACAACCATTTCTATCACCGTTTCCTTCCATGGACAGAGACGGCAAAGAGCTGTTAAATACACAGCGCCTCCATCAGGAGCCGTCTGCGATTCACATCAGTCGCGCTTTTTCCCTACTCGGCTCAGATAAACTCTACTGAAGGAGGGTTGATAATAAGCAGAAGGTTTAAAATAAGTAAAACAAAAGCCACCCACAAGGCCAACACCAATGCCAGCCTGTGCCAAGGTAACTGCTAGTAGGCAGAGTGTGGAAGAATGCATGTCTCTGAGAGCCCGCGGGATCACAGGCGCTGCTGAGGAACGGGCTTCAGGAGGGAGAACTAGCTGCTGACGTCCTGGGGGAAAATAATTTTGTCAGCTGTCTAAAGTAGTCTACATCTGGGACACCTGGATTCCAGTAGCTGACTTAAAAATGACTGTTTCTGCCCCAGCACGATTTAACGATGAAGTACATTTGAACCGACTCCAGTCGAGAGCTCGCTTCCTCGGCTCTCATTCCTCCTCTTGCTGCGCCTGTGCCCTGACCTGCCAGCCCCCCACATCTTCCCCCGCTGCTCTCTGCTCCTCTTCGTTTGTGTTTTTCAACTTTCTGAATTTAGAAACAATCATCCGTATTAAGTACTTAGTTGGTTCAGTATTAGTTTTATTTTCTAAAATTTTTATTATATGCTACAACATGAATGAAACTGGAAAACATTACGCTAGGTGAAAGAAGCCAGACATAAAAGACTATGTATTACAAGGTTTTTTATATAAAATGTCCAGAACAGACAATCCATAGAGACAGAAAGTAGGTTAGTGGGTGCCAGGGAAACAGGCATGGGGAGTGCCTACACAGGTGTATGGAGTTTTCCTTTTGGGATGTGGGAACATCCTGGAATGAGGTAGTGGCGGTGGTCACACAACTATATGAATAGAATCAAACTTGCTGAATTATGCACTTTAAAATTGTGGACTTCATATCCCAATATATGTGAATTATATCTCCATAAAAATTTTAAAAATTAGTTTTTATCTAGGGCCTTAGGCCTCAGTGTAAAATATTTTAGTGTGCAGCTACTGAAAAAAAATTTTTTTTAATGCATAAAAGACATGTACCACAGTCAAAGACTAGACTGCAGAAAAGCTCTAGCCTCAAGGTCTGGGTACAGCCTGACTTTTAAATATCAGTTTAGTATTTTATAAACAATTTCCATAAAGGAGGTGATATGCCCCATTAAGTATCAAGGTAGGTCTTGGCATAATCAACGGAAAGTAAGTTTGTAAAGTTAAGATTCTATAATCCTGCTGTTCATGTTCCAAATGTTTACACTTCATGGAAAGTTACTTAATTCAGGGAGTGCCGACTATTACTTTTTTTTTTATTAAAAGCCACAAAAAGGTCTATATTCAAGGTTGGAATTTTATAAATAACATTATATTTTGGGATTTTTCAAAGATTTTTCAAAAATTCTTTGGAAAGACAAGTTACTTGAGTGAAAGCCAGGCTCTCTTATCCTTTCATAGGATGCTACATCTTTTACCCAAACAGGGGCCAGAGTGGGCAGACAGCTGCACCAAATACCTTAGAATCAAGATCCAGACAAAGAGATACTGTGTTATCTGGTAGGAATATGAATGAAACAGTATGGCAAAATTTGTCAAGAGCCTTAAAATAAGTATATGTTTCACCCAGTAATTCCACTTTTAATAATTTACTGTGAAGAAATGATTGGGCAGAGGCACTGAGATATATGTAACGAGAATGCTCATCATGACACTGTTCACATTTAAATGGAAACAAAGTGTCCAACAACAGGAGTCAGACTGAATAAAAATACGGTCTATCCATACAGTGGAATAGCACACAATGTTGAAAATGATGATATAGAGATAATCCTTTGGTGTGCAAAGATACTAATAACTTTAGGGGATGAAAAAAAAGATTACAAACAGTGTGATCCTTCCTTCTCCCTCCCCCACCACATGTGTTTATCTATACATACATCTATATACTAGCATCTGTATCTTTATATATAGGGGTGAAAAGAACATAAACCCGAAGTTAGATTTGCAGGGGAGGGGAAGGACAGAAGTGACTACTCCTGGCTGTTACTTCCTTATGCTTCTACAGCAATCTGTACATTTACTATTAAAGGAAAAACAGAGAGACTCCCAGAGGTTGAAGAGTCTGACCACATCGGCAGCACCTTGGGAACGGACAGGGATGGAGACTGACTTCTGAGGAACACTGGCGACTTAATTTGGATTATAAAGCACGGTTAGCTCCATCACAGGAAACCAAGTTCCCTTGAAATGGAGGCATGTATAGAACCCCAGTTCTGCAGAAGACAAAACACCCCGATGGTTGTTCGGTTCGCTCCCTCTGGCCCCAGGCCGAGGATCTCTCGCGCCGTCCCTGAGGCAGCTTTCCTTTAATGACTCGTCACTGCTGCTCCACGGGGACAGGGCTCCTCTGCATGGCCGTCTGGACCCAGTGTCTGTTCTAGGTCAGAAGGAGCAGATGTTCTGACAGTGGTAGGAGAGCCGTATGGCATCTAAATAGTGAGAACCAGCAGCTCCCCACTTCGTAAGCGTTATGCCAGTGGTTCTGGTATGACGGTTTAAGAGGGTGGACCCCAGAGTCAGCCAGCCACTACCGGCATCACCGTGAGCTCAGACAGGCAATCTAACTCGTCTGTGTTTCCTCATCTATGGAATGGCAATATTAGGTTGTTTGGGGTTAAAAGGAGGTAATACTTGCAAAGCGCTGACAGTGAGTCTCTGACATACAGTAAGCCCTAAAAAATGTGAGTTATTGTTAATACCATTAATAACATGAAGGTAGTAACAATCGGATACTTCCTCATACCGATAACTTACAATTCCTGTCCTCCACTGATCTGTTCTCCTGATAAAATCTGAAATAAACAGGCTTAATATAACTTTTAATTTCATTTAACCTCAATAATTTCAAGACTAGAAATGAAACAGTACGGAATCAGTTAACAGGATAAAATTAATTTAGATGACTACTTAAGTTGCTGACTCAATAAATACTTGAGAAATGTAAGCTTCATGAAGCAGGACTGAAACTGCTCTGGATCCCCACAGCCTGGGCACAGTATAGACATCAGAGTACATGGAAGGTGCCCAGTACCATTTCTTGAACGAATTAAGTAAACAAATTAATTTTTGAAACTATCACTCCAATTCATCATCTCATCACTAATATTCTATTCTTTCATTGTACCCCATCAATCCCCCACCCGGGAGAAGTATACCTTAAGTTTTAGATGCATTTTAAGAAGCACACTTTTTCAAAGGACACAGGTAATCTGGTAGAACCAGCACTGAACCATTATCGTGAACTGTACAGGATCAGACAATGTAACTGAGGGGCCATGTTTCAAGTGACATGAAAAGCTCAGTAATGTCCCTCTGTACTCACCCTCTGGCTCTCCCCACGACATCTTTCTTCTCTAGCCAATGCTGTCCTTGTTTATAGAGGCCTCGGTCATCAACTGCATTATTATCTCCTTTGGTCAAAAACTTGACATGCCCATTTTGCCTTAAAAGAGTAAGGAAAGTGAAGCCATCAAATACCTTCATGCCATTTGAAAACATGAAATCCGTTCTTGTTCACCAAAATTTACTGTGGTATTTTACCATCATTATTAATGTTGACATATTTATTTATTCAGCTAAAAGGATGTCTGTAACTGTGTTGCTGATAATAGCAAAAAACTGAAAATAAGCTAAAAGTCTAACATTCAGGAGTTGAAATACTAGGCTGGGCATTAAGGATAATGCTACGGACAACATTTAATGACATTGGAAGATCATAAATATTTTATTAAGTGAAGAGAAGATTACAAAAATAACAGGCACAGTACAATCTTGTTTTTATATTAAAATAAACACAAACCACCAATTTTCTGGAAATAACAAAGAGCAAAGGAACACACTAAACTACCCCCACTGGACGTAACTGCCAAAATGCAGACTCTGGGGGGCTGCAGAGTGGCCCAGCTTGTTTGACCAGTAAGTTGCAAGGAACAAAGGAAGCTGGAGGAAGAATTTACAGGTTAAATAAAAGAGACTCTAAGGTCATATCAACCAATTGCAACCAAGAACCTTATTTGAATCTAGATTCAAACAAACTGTTTAAAAAAAAGTCACGATACAACTGGGAATTTGAATAAATACTGGAAACTTAATCACACAAAGGAATGATTGTTCATATTTTTTTAGTTGTGACCATGGTAATTATAGTTATGTTTCTTAAAAGCTCATTGATTACATTTTATATATGTTTACTGAAGTATTTATATATGACATGACATGATATCTAGGTTTTGATTCAAAATAATAATACAGGCAGGAGAATTGGAAGAGGTGGTAGTGTAGTTGGGCAGAGTTGGCCATAGATGAGTAATTACTAGGACTGGGTGACAGTACTGAGTTACTATACTACTTTGTTGACTTTTGTGCATGTTAGAAATTCTCCATATTAAAAAAATGAAAGAACATAAAAAAGATATTAAACAAGATCTAAAATGACAGACCAAGGTGCAAACAGGGGCTATCTATGGCTCTTTAGCTTACCTTTAGTTTTTTTCCTCCAACACACATACACTGCTTTTATATGTCAGGGTTTAAAGGAACAGCATTTTGCTTCATCAGAAAATTATTAGTTTAATTCTAAAGAACCATGAGGTTTCTGGAAATTTTCAAATTTAATTGAAAGCAAAGTACATTTTACAGTTCAATAAATACTATCTTAAAGTCAATTCAAGAGGAGCTGGGTTAACCACTGTAACTAGAAAAGAAGAAAATTCAGATTTCCTACTGACTGATATCACTCCAATTCTTAGCCAGACACTGGCTCACCAGACACTCAATCTGCACATGGAACTAAATTGGGAGGTGTTGCAAACACCAAAAGCAGTTAACTGCAAACAGTCACATTACAAATGAGATTCCGGTTAGGAAAAATGCAAATATATACAGAGAAAACTAATGTGTAGCAGACAACTCAGTAAGGGAGAGAATGTCTGAAAAATCCTGGAGGTAACAAGAGGACAGGTGCCAAGAGGGGCCAGCTGCCAGAGTGGGAGTGAGGGGCAGCAGGAAGGACGATCGAGCCATCCATGGCAATACAGCCACCGCACAGCAGCACATCACACAGGAGGAGAGAGAATTGGGAAAAATGGGAAACTCCCCAGGGAAGGAAAGGAGAACGATGCTACAGGAGATACAGACTATTCCCAAAGACGTGATTTGCCAACAAAACAAACACACACACTCAATTCCCCACCTCTGGGATGTAATCAGGCGAGACCACTAGAGCTGTGTGAAAAAGCACAGGTCTCCTTCCTCCACTTAACAGTGTAACAACAGTTCTCTTGTGGCAACCTGCTCCTATGAAACCTGCTATTATGAACCCACCACAGCACTTCAAAACCCTGATGGACAACAGCCCATTGGTGCAAGACTTCTCCCTTGGAGACTTCTCCCTTGTTAGCATGGAACCAAACATTTAATATCATCTACCTCCAAGGAGCTTAGAGCTCTCACAATGTAATTCAGTCATCATAATACAGCAATGTTAGGAGGGAGGAAACAACCACTTTATAAGTAGGAAAAAGACATACCCAGAAAAGCCAAATGGGTGCAAAATAATTTGCACACAAAAAGCAAAGCTAAGGATGAAGTTATCCCAAAGGCAAAATGTATCCTTCCAAACACTTGATCACATGCCAGTATTCAATCTCAACACATGTTCTATAAGCTGAGCTTACTAAATACAGAGTAGGCTATAAAATAAGATGAAGTAAGAGTTTATATGTGGGAAAATGTAAGTTTTAAGAATGACTAAGAAGCTAATATGAGGAGCTATCAAAAAAATTAAGGTAACTGACAACATTTAAAAGCAGTATCACCTTTTAAATTAAAAAACAAACTTCATTATCTCCTAGCTCTTTTGTAACTCATCTATTTTGGAAAAAAACAGAAAAGAACAGGTAAGGGAAGAAAAGGATTCAAAGAGATTTTTCGCTGTCTGCCGAAGTGCGTATCTCACAGGCCCCAGGTAAGAGCCAGGAATAATTCTTATTTTTTTACTTAATTAAAAATATAGTAACTATAATAAGTGCAGGAGGTGGATGAGTCTTTTTTAGAAACAGTGCCAACAACTTTTTCTCGATTTGCTATTGTGACCACATATTGGAAGTGTCAATGTTCCTGACGAGAGAATTTTGCCCGAGCTCAGCAGTGCATTAGAGGTAAGCCCTGGATAACAACATGTGCTTTTCCGCTGGTTGGATGTTCAGTACACACAGTCAGTCTCACCTGGAGGGCAGGCAGGACTAGGCAAATGACTGCACTGGGCACAAAGAACAGAGTCAAATTCAAGGACCTGTTACCATCTTATTAAGCAGTACTTGGCAAGTTGATTTTTTAGCTCAGAGATTCTTTGCATATGTGGTAATACCAGATATATTCTACCACATGTTCATGAGATAATCATGTTACAAAATAGTACTGACTAGATCCCAAGCATTGTATGGGGGAAATGTTTATAAAACAAAGAGAATTACCCCGAATTTAACACTACCTCTGGGTGATAGGATTACACCGTGATTTTGTTTTCTGTGTTTTCCAATTGTACACAATATCATGTGCCACAATACACATGTAGTAAGACGTTCATAAGACAGAAATTCAATATATGAAAGAGAGCTTTATATGAGATTTACAAATTTACAAAGGCATTCATTATATAAGAAGCAGGTACAGGAGGAAAGGGGGATGAGACAAGAGAGAAATCAGTGGCACAATCCCACCTTTATTCTGAGAGCTCAGGGTTTTACCATAAAACAAGGGTAAGATGAGAGAAATGAATAATGCAAAAGCCAGCCTGAAAATGCTCAGAACACACTTATTACTACAGAACCGTATCCATTTTGGTTGTCATTTGGTCCCATATTTAACAACTAAAAAATGTTATATTATTAAATCAAATGATTATCACAACCAGGTATTTTAGTCTTCTCAAAGGATAAAAGAAAATTGGAAACTTCGGAACATTAATAGGGTCTATTATCTAAACTGCAAGTTGAAGGCATCTCAAGAGCCTAAAATAAATCACAAAAAACCCCAAGTTCTAAGTATCATACAGCTCAAAACATTCACGCTAAAAATTGTTAAAATTTAAGGAATTTGCAGTTAATATAGTATCTGTCAATGGACCTGCTCTGAAACAAAATGATCTGTTTTAAAATAAAAACCTCACTCAATTCCAAAGGGTTACACATAAAAAATGGACAACTCTACTCAAAGCAGGGCCTGGGTGTAATTTAATTTTCTCTGATAAATTCAGGGGAATTGGTTCTGCTTTGTTCATAAAGGGCAGCGCTGAGAACAAAGAACACAAATCCACTTTGAGAATCTGGAAAACATTACTTTTATGGAATAAACCTTCAAAATTCCAAAATAAATTTCTGAAGAAATTTTATTCCTTCCTAGTCGATAACAGAATGTCACTTAAAAATAATAATCTTTCACAATATACACTGAGATCTGGAAAAAAAAGAGCAGTCAGATCTTTATTTCATCAATGAAGAAAGAACTCTCCTAAACTAGAATTTCTAAACAGGGATTTTCAAAAGGCAACCACTGAGAGTTCCATGTTCCTTAAGTGGAGAAAACAAGCTATGTCAGAAGGTGGTAAGAATACAGTAACGCTTCTGTAGGGCCTCCTCACACTCGAGAACGCGAATCCCCCTCCGCTTCAGTCTCCTGCGACCTCCAGCGTGCCTCCTTCTCCCTTTTGTCTTTCCTTCCTTTCTGGAAGTTTCCCTTAACGAGAAGTACTAGGGGTTCGGAAAGCGGAGGATGAGGAGCACAGGCTCGGAACTCAGGCTCTCACAGCCCATCTCCCCGGACCTCTGCAGCGCAGAGAAGGACACCGAGACCCAGGGGGACCCAGCAGGCGACACTATTTGCTCGCGGCATGCCCCACTTCCACCCCTAGTGATTCTAACGGTTTTACGTATGTCCTTTCTGATTCTAAAATACAAATGTCTATATTTAAAAGAATACCTCAGATTTTAGAAATTTCCTTTGGGACTTGAAAAGTTGGTAAATTTATTCTTATTTGAAATTAAGAGTTTGTTAGATTGCCTTAAGGATTTTTTTTGAAAGACTAGGGCCATCTCATCCATTGTATTGTAAGATTCTATTTGGGATTAACCTTTATGTCATATTTTTAGGGGTTATAAGCAGATCAGAGTTACTAGAAGGGAACTTTCCCATAGGAAGAGGAAGGGAGCCAAGAAAAACCTCCAGAAAAACCTTCAGAGAAATAAATTGAACTAATAAATAACTATTTAGTTTTCCAACGTTCACCAAACATTCAGACATTCATAAAAATGATTGGGATAAGAACACAGGAGTTCCCCACCCTTTCTTAACCTTTAGGCTATTAAATTAAATACTGTAAACACTAAAACATAAAAATATTTTAAAACAGAGTAGTTTGCACATACTTTTCATGAATCTTCAAGACTCGGTGAACTATAGGAATCTCTCTTCCTTCTATCCGAAAAACAACAATTTCTCCCACTCGTATGGGATCTTCAACTCGATTTGTTAAAAAGAGAAGATCTCCTCTATGAAATGCAGGTTCCATGCTGCCACTGGGAGGAAAAGAAGAATATGGTAAAAAAAAGGACACTGGAGATTACATTTACTTCCAAAATTAGATACTCAACAAATAAAATTATTACCTTTGGAGTATACTCAATACCTTACTAAATACATCTACAGAAATGTGTACTGTTCTCCACTATGGTTTCCTCAGACTAATGAGTTATAGTAAAGATTTTAGTTATTAGCCTTCACTAACCAGTTCCATTACCTCTGGGTGATAGGATTACACCGTGATTTTGTTTTCTGTGTTTTCCAATTGTACACAATATCATGTGCCACAATACACATGTAGTAAGACGTTCATAAGACAGAAATTCAATATATGAAAGAGAGCTTTATATGAGATTTACAAATTTACAAAGGCATTCATTATATAAGAAGCAGGTACAGGAGGAAAGGGGGATGAGACAAGAGAGAAATCAGTGGCACAATCCCACCTTTATTCTGAGAGCTCAGGGTTTTACCATAAAACAAGGGTAAGATGAGAGAAATGAATAATGCAAAAGCCAGCCTGAAAATGCTCAGAACACACTTATTACTACAGAACCGTATCCATTTTGGTTGTCATTTGGTCCCATATTTAACAACTAAAAAATGTTATATTATTAAATCAAATGATTATCACAACCAGGTATTTTAGTCTTCTCAAAGGATAAAAGAAAATTGGAAACTTCGGAACATTAATAGGGTCTATTATCTAAACTGCAAGTTGAAGGCATCTCAAGAGCCTAAAATAAATCACAAAAAACCCCAAGTTCTAAGTATCATACAGCTCAAAACATTCACGCTAAAAATTGTTAAAATTTAAGGAATTTGCAGTTAATATAGTATCTGTCAATGGACCTGCTCTGAAACAAAATGATCTGTTTTAAAATAAAAACCTCACTCAATTCCAAAGGGTTACACATAAAAAATGGACAACTCTACTCAAAGCAGGGCCTGGGTGTAATTTAATTTTCTCTGATAAATTCAGGGGAATTGGTTCTGCTTTGTTCATAAAGGGCAGCGCTGAGAACAAAGAACACAAATCCACTTTGAGAATCTGGAAAACATTACTTTTATGGAATAAACCTTCAAAATTCCAAAATAAATTTCTGAAGAAATTTTATTCCTTCCTAGTCGATAACAGAATGTCACTTAAAAATAATAATCTTTCACAATATACACTGAGATCTGGAAAAAAAAGAGCAGTCAGATCTTTATTTCATCAATGAAGAAAGAACTCTCCTAAACTAGAATTTCTAAACAGGGATTTTCAAAAGGCAACCACTGAGAGTTCCATGTTCCTTAAGTGGAGAAAACAAGCTATGTCAGAGGGTGGTAAGAATACAGTAACGCTTCTGTAGGGCCTCCTCACACTCGAGAACGCGAATCCCCCTCCGCTTCAGTCTCCCGCGACCTCCAGCATGCCTCCTTCTCCCTTTTGTCTTTCCTTCCTTTCTGGAAGTTTCCCTTAACGAGAAGTACTAGGGGTTCGGAAAGCGGAGGATGAGGAGCACAGGCTCGGAACTCAGGCTCTCACAGCCCATCTCCCCGGACCTCTGCAGCACAGAGAAGGACACCGAGACCCAGGGGAACCCAGCGGGCGACACTATTTGCTCGCGGCATGCCCCACTTCCACCCCTAGTGATTCTAACGGTTTTACGTATGTCCTTTCTGATTCTAAAATACAAATGTCTATATTTAAAAGAATACCTCAGATTTTAGAAATTTCCTTTGGGACTTGAAAAGTTGGTAAATTTATTCTTATTTGAAATTAAGAGTTTGTTAGATTGCCTTAAGGATTTTTTTTGAAAGACTAGGGCCATCTCATCCATTGTATTGTAAGATTCTATTTGGGATTAACCTTTATGTCATATTTTTAGGGGTTATAAGCAGATCAGAGTTACTAGAAGGGAACTTTCCCATAGGAAGAGGAAGGGAGCCAAGAAAAACCTCCAGAAAAACCTTCAGAGAAATAAATTGAACTAATAAATAACTATTTAGTTTTCCAACGTTCACCAAACATTCAGACATTCATAAAAATGATTGGGATAAGAACACAGGAGTTCCCCACCCTTTCTTAACGTTTAGGCTATTAAATTAAATACTGTAAACACTAAAACATAAAAATATTTTAAAACAGAGTAGTTTGCACATACTTTTCATGAATCTTCAAGACTCGGTGAACTATAGGAATCTCTCTTCCTTCTATCCGAAAAACAACAATTTCTCCCACTCGTATGGGATCTTCAACTCGATTTGTTAAAAAGAGAAGATCTCCTCTATGAAATGCAGGTTCCATGCTGCCACTGGGAGGAAAAGAAGAATATGGTAAAAAAAAGGACACTGGAGATTACATTTACTTCCAAAATTAGATACTCAACAAATAAAATTATTACCTTTGGAGTATACTCAATACCTTACTAAATACATCTACAGAAATGTGTACTGTTCTCCACTATGGTTTCCTCAGACTAATGAGTTATAGTAAAGATTTTAGTTATTAGCCTTCACTAACCAGTTCCACTTCAAGCATTATTTTCAAAGGAGCTTCAATCTTGAAAAGGGCAATGTTACTAATTCCTTAACCTTTTAAAATTTCAAATGACAAACAGAATATATAAAAGAATGAACTTTATAATCACTGCCCTTATTCTCACTTCATCTGAAAATGCTAGACATATTCAAATATTCAAATGAGAACCAGATCATCTTCTTGTGCCATACAGACCAAGATGACCTTATGGTTTCAATCCATTATGAAGGCAAAACAGCACATCAAGTCAAAGACCAGCCAGCTGCAGAGATAATGCTTGTGTTATAAATTTATTTATTTTAAAAAGAGGAACAAGAAAGAAAACCAAGGACCAAAGCAGAGATTTTTGCTTAAGAATTTCATAAATGAAGAAAGGATTCATAAATGAAGATTTTCATAAATGAAGAAAGGATTCGGTTCTCTCCATTAGTGAGAACAAACTTCTAGAGTGTCTTCTCATCTCTCACCTATACCAAGTTTTTCAAAGGCCCTAGGATATTTTCACTAATTAATGAACCTTTTTCTTCTATGAAGAAGTAGCCTGCCAGTATTATTTTCAGAAACTCAAGCTCCAGTTTCCAATAACAACAGATTTAGTAAGAAGAAAATGGACTGACAGAGAATAAAATTAATACAGGAATAGAATTAATACAGAGAATAAAATTAATACAGACAGCAAACAATTCTGTCTGAAGACTGGTCCCTCTCTTAAGGGAATATGGAAGTGGTTCCCAAACTTTGCTACACATTAAAAGCACTTGGGGAACACAAAGAAAATCCCAATGCTCAGGTCGTATCTCAAACCATTTAAATCAATGTCTGGGGATGGGAGGCAGGCAACAGTATTTTGTAAATCCCAGGTAATTCCAATAAACAGCAAAAAATTGGGAATATGAATTTTCAGTACGTATTTATTCTTAAAACTTTTATTAAGGTTCCCCATGCAGTAATGAGTTCCCTTTTTCAGAAAGTGTTCAGACAGAAGACAGGACATCAGTTTAGTGAAAACATTATAAAAGGTATTCTAAACATGTAGTTTTCAAGTTTTTACTTTGATTTCTAAAAATCAGTGATATCCTTTGTTCAAGTAAAACCATGCTTGAAAATTATATAAATAAAATGGATAAAAGCTGAGTTGCTCTGGTTAAATGACTCATCTTTATTGACCACTTACTATATACCAAGTGCTATTCTAATTTTTATGGTAACAATCTTCAGAACAATTCTATGATGTAGGTATTATTACTATCCCAAATTTGCAGAAAAGGCGACTGAGGCTTAGAAAGGCTTAAGGTCATAAATCAAAAATGGTGAAGGTGAGATCTGAACCAAAGGAGTTCAGCAGAATCCACTCTCACTGTGCTAAACTGACTCTGAGCCACTTAAGAATTTTAAGCAAGGAGTATCATAATCATATTTGCATTTAAGAAGCATCACTTTAGAAGCTATGGGGTGTATTAAAAATATTAAAATATTTATTGAATTAACGAGTAAACTGAAAAGATCAGAAGGTATGTCAGAAGGACCAGTTGTATACTGGTGTGTATGTATGTACATATATATGTATTATACATGTACATACATACACAAGCACATACAAGTATAACCAAATACTTGGCCACTATTAAAAGTGTTATTGAAATCATGGACATGGAGAATGATAAGGGGAGAAAAACAGAGAAAAGGATGCATATACAGAATTTATCTCAATTATTCAAGAAACCATATACATGAAAAGACTAAAATGTTAATTGTGATTATATCCCAGAACTATGGGTGACTTAGTTTCACTTGTATTTGTGTGTGTTCTCAACATTTCATGTAATGAAAATATATAAACTTTTTTCTGATTATAAAAGCATTTTTTTAAAGGTCACTACAACAGCCCAGGCAGGAAATGAGAGGGCTTGAAATAGAACAGCAGCAAGGAGGGCAACTCTAAAGGGGTCGACTGGGGGGAGGAAAATGACAGATTTGATGGCCCACTGGATATGACAGAAGTGGGGAATCAAGAATGACTCAGGTTTTTAACACTGGCAATTGAGCAAATGGCAGTGACAGTCACAGAAACAGGAGGGGAAGAACAGGTCTGTGGGAAAAGGACATGAATCTCATTTTCATTATGTGTAGTTTCAAGTGCTTATCCCACATCCAGATGGAGACATCCAGTGTCGGGTGGGAACAAGAGCTGAGGCTTCGGGGAAGAAAGCTGGATAAGAAATAAAACATATAAGAATTCATATGGAAACGGCAATTAAGTACTGACAGAAGAGTATAGTGAGAGGACCTTAAAGAAGTAGACCCGGGGGGACACCTTTTAAACATTAGATAATCAGTAAACTTTTTACTATTATCTGATTAAATTATATTTTCAATTTAATGCACTTATCATAATTTTATAAGCTATATATAAATCATTTAAATATTTTAAAACTGACTTCAGCTCTACAAAAAGGAAAAAAAAAATACTGTGAATGTTCTCTGAAACCCAGTTAGTAAAATAAATAATGAGAGTATTTGTTTTTACCCCCAAAGGCTTCACAAGTCTTGAAAGTGGATTCTCAGTCAGCCGGAGTCCTCTGAGGCATATATGGTTCCAGGTAAAAACATTCCTTCAAGTTACATAAGCCCTCAGTCAGGTCAAATCTACCTGGCCACCCAAGCACGTAAATTACCTTTCTCTAATGGCCACTCCTTCCATTCTTGACCAGATTCTCCTCTAACAAGACCTGGTCTCTTTTGATTTCTTTATTCCACAATGGCAATCAGGAAAGTTTAGTATATAAATAACCTAGCTACCAAATAATTTATCCAAGCAACACTTTTAAGTCCCAACTGGTATTACAAATTTTCCAACTATTACAAAAATGGACTATTTTCAGGACCACCAATGTATTGAGAGGTCCTTCATCTAAGCCCCTATTCACTACAACATTCCCAGTTTAAAGGTCATTCGATTGTCCTTAAAACATCTCCACTGAAGGGAACTCAATCTGAAACATTCCTAGAAGCAATCTCCACACCAGCCTCGCTGGGCCCGCTCTCGACACTCTCCCCCACAGTGCCAATTGGTGTGGTTTCTCCTTCTGTCACTGAACACTTCACAAATTGAAGCTCTCGGCTGAATTCAAAGACTAAGGACTTAGGGCCACATAATTTTAGAACTGACAGGGTCTTCTCACATCATGCAGGTCTAACTTTCATTTTATAGATGAGAAAACTATGGTTCAGTGAAAAAGTGATTTGCCCAAGGTTGTAGTTAGACAGTGAAAGAGCTTTATACTCCCAGACCAGTACATTACATGCTTTTCCAACTAATAAAATGCCCTACATCTCTCTGGACCTCTAAAATTACAGTTGCATTTGATTATTAATAAAGACTCAAAGCTAAAGGTACAAGTAAAACACTGGAGACCCAGTGCCTCCAGCCACGTGCTTCCGCAAGTACACCCCAGCATGACAACGAGGGACTCGAATCCATGGTCCGAGTAATGTACTATTAACTAGACTCTAGATAATGGTAATGTTTTATTTTATATTTAACTCTAGAAAAGACTTTGAGATACCTTACATAATTAGCCCCAAATAACACAGAACTATGATGATCCAATTAAATAATCAAGTGGTAATTCTCCAAAAATGAGTTACTAAATTAGGTTTTAAATCACTATGAGTACAAGGAAAGGATGTACGGTGGGCAAAAAATTCAGTACTGTTTGTCACTTTAAGAAATAGCATTAATACCTTCAAAATTCCTGAAGTCTATTTAGAAGTGATATTTAAAGGTCAGAAGGAAACATGGAAATAATTAGCGATGCTTCTGTACTGACACTGAGAACACGCTGCAGAAAAACTCTTAATTCCTCGAGATGATATATATTCTAGTAAACTAAGAACTAAGTACCAGTCCTGATGTATCAAAGTGAAGAGTGTTAAGAAGACAAAAGACTTTCAGGCAAGTACACTGAAACACTCGCCTAAGAGGGTGCCAAAAATAAAGCTCACATTGTAAATGTTTTACAAAAAAGGTCATAAACCCTTTGGGGTCTGAATGGAAACTGTCTAACAAAACTGAGAATTTCTCCCAACTGAGAAATGGTAACTAATTTTCTTCCAGGCCCTCTTCTGGGAAAGAGTAGTTTCAAAGGAATAATAAAAGTTATTCAGTATCTCAATTTTTCTCTCAAATAATGCCATGTAATTCCATGCCTTGAAAAGAAAATCTGTTACCTGAGCACCACTACAATCGGACTTTCGCTTCCAGTTATGACCATTAACCCCTTCCAGATCATTAGCGCCGAGGAGACAATCATTCCAAAATTTAGGACTTGATAATAGAGCTGTAAGAACAAAAGAGAAGAGATCAGATCCAAGATTATCCTCACCCAGGAAAGCAACTGAGAATAGTTATCAGTTTAATAAGTTTAAGTGCTACTATGAGGGCAGCTGAAGCTCTGAGCCATTCTTTAAAATACTGTAATGATGACACCATCAGCACCCTGGACCGGTGCTCCTTCTCTCACCACAGCACCCTGGTCCATCTGGTTTGCTAAAACGTGTTCCTTTTTTTACATAACAGAACTGTTCACATAAGTTTTTCATGTGGACTTCACAACTATTCACCTTAAATTGGATTACATCCATGATACATACCAGCAAAGAGTAATATAACTCTGCTTCTGAACTCTCTAGTACTTTCTCCACTACAGTCTATCCCATGATAATGATGGGCTGTTCAATATGGCATTTAACTCCATTCCTCATTTTACAGTTGAGCAAACTTAGTCTCAGAGAGAGGAAATAACTTTACTTAATAACAGCTGGTCAGTCACATAAGACTTGAAGGCCAGCCTTCAGTCTTATTAAATTGCCACTGCCCAACAAATTGTAAAATGCTATGACTTGATAAGCAGATATAATACCAGAAAGGCATTTCAAGCAAGCTAATTGTGTTGGATTTAGGGTAGATAACGGTCAAACTAGAGGATGACTGGACACTATGGCAAACAGTTCAATGAATGAAAAGATGGTGCTGGGAGTATTGGGAGAAATCTGAAAAAGAATAGTAAACTCACATTATGCAGAACCTTCAATGTACGGCCAAAGATGTAGACCTTTAAAGACATTCATAAAATACTTTAAGGAAAAAAAAAAAAAAAAAACTTTCAAAAATTTGCACAAAATGAGTTCTTTCGTTATTTTTTAAAAATATATGTGCATGTATAAAGTCTAAAAAACAACTGTTCTAGCTTTCAAAAACCCAATGTCATGAAAATAAAGGCGGGAGGTTGTTCTAGATTAAAAAGGAGTAAAGAGACATAACAACCAAATGTAATACATAAACTATGACTGGATCTTGGTTCAAAAGAACAAAATGTATATAAGGAAAAAAAACCAATTATAAAAGACATTTTGGGGTCAATTGGGGAGCTCAAATATGACTTAAATGATACTTAAATGACTTAATATTAATGTTAATTTTCTTGGATGTGATAATGATTTTGTGGTTATGCAGTATACTGTCCTTATTCTTCTTGGGAGATGCTTGCTAGTAGCAATTAATTAGTGATGCTAGTAGTTACAGGTGAATTGTCATATCTTCGACTCGATTCAAATGATTCAGAAAAAATTCACATATATGCACACACAGGTAAGTACACAGCAAATAAGGCAAAATGTTAACAACTGTATCTATATGGTAGTTTACAAGTGTTCATTGTGCTAGTCTTTCAATTTTCCTTTTTTTCCAACTTTACTGAATTGTAACTGACAAAATCATAAGGTATTTGAAGTGTACAACATGGTGATTTAGTATATGTGTACCTTGTCAAAGGATCCCCCATAGAGTTAATTAACACATCCATCATCTCATGTATTTACCTTTTTTTTTGAGGGGGCGGATATGATTTCTCTCAATTTTTCTCAAAGTATAGGAAAAATTGGAAGAATATAAACAAAATATGTCAGTGGCCACATCCAGGGCTATAATACCAGGCAATTTTGTTCTATTTTGTTTATTTGTATTTTCTACTTTTTTCTTTTTAAATTAATTTTCATTTCTATCAGAATATGATATATACAGAGAGCCAAGAGATACATAATTTGGAAAAAAAAAAGCAATGACCTGGCCATGGCAGGCCACCCCCAGCAATCATTTTCATCTCTCGTAGCTATTTCTTCTGGTATTTACCCTCACGCTTCTAAAAACTGATTCTCTTGTTCTCAAAAATCTGGATCAATAAAATTACCCATTACAATGAGGATTTTAGCTCTCTCACACCACTTTCTATTTTTTTTTTCCCATGAAATCGACCTGCTTCTCCTGCATACTTAAATTTAAAAGTTTCAAGTTGCATATGCTTATAAATGCACACTTTATCTCTGGAAGGTTACACAAGAAATCGGGGACAGTAGCTGCTTCTGGGAAGAAACTAGAAATCACGGTGGAAGGAAAATACTTTCCAATATATATATGCTTCATATTTTTAAAGTTTTTCTAGGAGCAAGGATAACTTATTCAAAAATAAGTTGTTCAGATTTTTCTTAGGTCTGTGTTAATTGCCATAACATTCTCTTCTGGCATTCCAATGAAGTATGACATAACTGCCATTATAATTAATGTCATCCACAAAGGAAGAAAAGGAAATGTGGACATTTTCTAATAGACACTTAGAAGTATATGCCGTTCCTTGAGCAATGGTGTGATCTGAGACCTAGTCTGACACTCTCACTTGTAAGTGTGGAAACGAAGGCACAGACAAGCCAAGGAATAATGTACAGCCATTGGCAGGCAGAGCGCCAACAAAATTCAGGTCCCCTAAATTCCACCTCTTCGAAATAGCAGCTTTTTAAAGGTTAAAAAAATACAGTCTTTTTATTCAGAAGTCAGAGCTGAGGAGGTGAAGTAGAAGAAGCCAGAAGTAGGAAAACTAGCTTGTAAAAAGTAATTATAGTCAACAAATGGATAAGCAGTCAAGAATTCAGCTAAAGGCTATATTTTCCAAGCTTTCCATGCTAAAAAAATAAATCACCAACTACTGATTGGGACAATAGCTTCTGGACCTCAATCCAGAACCTCTGAGGGAGAGGCTGTGGGATTCCATAAAAAACACAAAATATAGTTCCATGATCCCTTACTGAAAACCCACGGGGATAAGATACGTTTATAATTCAGACCTGGCCAGATTTTGAAAAAAGTAACACCTGCATGTACCGTATGTCACACAGCAGCACCCACAGCAGGCAGGGCCTGTGACAGTTCTCATAACCAAGCACATTAGTATTTCTGCAGCAAACACAAAAACCTCCCACTGAAGTAAGGAAAAACTAACAATAGGCAAATGCCAATCAGTTCAAGTCCATTTTGTTGAGGAAAATATTTCCATTTTCAGACAGGCACAGATGTAGCTTGTCCGAATACATGTGGGATATCTAGTAAGATAACTGTTCTTTAGAAGAAATATGAAAGCCAAAAACATTATGATTCCTATGTCCCTACAAGGTCACTAGCCTGCCCATAATTACCCTCCCCTTTTTCTTCAGACCTGTAATACTATCTTTCACTACAGAGTCATTACTGTGAAATTTCTCTCACCAAGATCATCCTCACCATTTATTAAAGCAAAATGCTAAAGCCCCTCTCCATGGTTGGCTGGTATGTTCCTTAAAAGGTGTCAGTGAGAGAAGCACACTATTTGGTAAAACAAGTATCCTCTCTGAGCAGAAGTTTGAAAAACAGCATGTTATTCTCCCCTCTATTTCCTTTACTCAAAAGACAAACTATAGCCTCCCCAGCCCCTGCTTTCTTTACCACCACAGCTGAATGCTCAGGCATGTGCACGGCCAGAAAAAGTGTTGTCTCTTTCTGGCACTGACAGAAATAAGGTGGCGACTATTTAACTTTCTCATTGGCCACATCAAGCTGCTAGTAAGACATTGTGATGTGTGTAGAACAACCACCACAGGACTGAACAGCACTATTATTTTTGTCTAAAAAGTGCCTGGAACGATATGTTCCTCAATGCCCAAGATGAAGCTAGAAAAGCATCTTATGAAAACCAATCAAAGCTCTATGTAATATCTCTTGGTAGGTATGGTGTGGGGGTTTGTGTGTGCTATTTTCCTTTTGTACTTTTAAGAGGTAATGTGGAACCTGCTCCCAAAAGTTCTGTGAGTAGAATAATCTGCATGGTAATTTAAAATACATTGTAAGTAACATATCACAAGAATTTAAGAAAACCTAGGACAGAAAATTCAGCAAGATAAAAGCTGATCATAATTTTAAATACTATAGTTTATTTTCAACAGGCCATAATCTGGAAGTTATGTACTAAGCACTTATCTACTGTAGTTATCAAATACACCAGTATATTTCCTATTCATGTAAGAGTTATTTGAAGTCCATCATGCAGAATATTTTCATAAAAGTCAGACTTCCAGCCATCTCAAGTAAAGAAAGAAATGACCACAGAAGCAAAAATATGACTCAAAGCTATAAAATAGCAGTTGGCCTAAGTCCTAAATTCCATTTATTTTAACACCTCAAAGCAGAGACTCATTAATCCATAACTATAATTCTCTGCTTTCTAACTCACAGGAGCAGAAGTGATTAGAAGCTAGAGTATTAGGGGCAGATACAATGATAGCAGCTAGAGGTAAAATCGATGGCGTTGGAAAAATTGAAGTATGTCCAGAATGAACAGTTATTATGGCTCAATGAAGACACTGATAGTCCCTGTGAAGAGCCCAAATGAAAATAACAACAATAAAAAACATGAATCGTCTAAACAGGTATAATATCAATAAAGTAAGAGAAGTTTCATTTTTAAAAATCTGTCAAATCTTTTTAAAATCTGACAAAATGAAAACGTATCTATACATACATATATAGCAGCTTTATTCATAATAGCCCCAAATTTGAGAAAACCCAAATGTCCATCAACAGATGAATAAATTACACTATTTCCATATAATGGAATACTACTCAGGAATAGAAAAGAATGAACTCCTGACATACACAACATACATAAATCTCAAAAATATGTTGCTTGGGCCAAGCTGGAGTAACAGGGACCAAATTAATCTTCCTGCCTAGAATAACTAAAACACTGGCCAAAATACATGAAACAAAGGTTTCTAGGCACTGGACATGTGACTGTGTCCAGGTAGCAGAGGACTGTGATTACTTAGAAAGGAGAAACAAGGTGGGCCCTATGACTGCCCCAACTTACAGACTGAAGAGTTTCCAGACCACAAGGCAACAGGGAAATGCAGACAGAGCCGGGAAGTCTCCTTGACTTGAGGATAAAGAACTGGAGTCTGGGGAGACAAAGGCAGCTAG